TGTATCTTTCCATGTTCTCGCGGAAGATTCATCCTCATTTTGCACATTTGGTGAGTAGTGGAGCGAAGCCCTATGTGGGTGCTCATTTTTGTTTTGTTTCAGTATGAAGACGCATGAACTTAATCACTTTCGAGGAGTATTCCCTATGTAGGTGCTCTTTTTTTTTTTTTTCAGTATGAAGAAGCATGAACTGAATCGAGTTTGAGCAGTACTGTTTGCCAGGCGGGGTGCATGCTTTGCATCTACCGAAAGTTGTCTGACTGACTGGTAGTTCAGTTCGCTTTATTATTGGTCTGACTATCTCTACTGACTGGTAGTGACAGACTTAGGGCCTCGCTGCACTACTCTCCAAATGTGCAAAATGAGAATGAATCTTTCCCTAGAACATGCAAAGATGCACTGCCATATTTTTTGTCTTCTGTGCATGTGGAGAGTAGTGCAGCGAGGCTCTTAGTACTACTCAATCCTAAACAAAGTTGACATGTTACATTTGTCTGCAATCTTCGTGCATGCGTAGTTGCAGTTACTGGGTTTGTTATTTGGCATATAAGATACAGAGAGAGAGAGAGAGAGAGAGAGAGAGAGAGAGAGAGAGAGAGAGAGAGAGAGAGAGAGAGAAGCCCAATTGTCTGTCTGATTAGTTGTTTGAGGCCTGTTCGATTTTTTGTTTGCTTAACAGTGCTTATCTCGATGTTGCCTCCTTGACAACTGCTTAGTTCGTTTAATGTTTTCTCCACTGTTTGCTTGTTTATTGGCTTAGTTGTTTGCTAAATATTTTCGCATTAAGCTATCCGCTTATCTTGTTATATGTGCATGCTGACAAGAGGGATGGAAAGAGATAGATAGATAGATAGATAGATAGATAGATAGATAGATAGATAGATAGATAGATAGAGAGAGAGAGAGAGAGAGAGAGAGAGAGAGAGAGAGAGAGAGAGAGAGAGAGAGGTTGTGTGTGCTTGTCTATCCGTTTGATTATATGTGTGTCTGTTGGGCTTGCCGCTTGCTTGACATTTGCTTACCTTGATGCTGGCAACGAATCAAAGATCGCTGAGACCCCCCCAAAAAAATCTTGATCAGACAGAGGAAAGGTTGTCATCAATTGTAGTGGTTTTCCATTCTTTCTTCTAGATCACGCTACCAAGATCTACATCATGCAGCGAACATCGAGATCCAGATAAGACGTCCATGATCCTCATCCAAAAACACCACCAGCAGAGATCTCGATCATAATCACACTCATCAAGATGACGAATCAAGATACCGAGTCAAGTTCACGAATTAATTTCACGAATCGGAATTGCAAATCAAGATCACAAATCAATATCACGGCTCAAGAATACTAATCAAGATCGGAATAAAAGCAATGACAGTTGCTTCTGAACATGAAACTTTGAATAACTCAGTTCAAACACACGTATTCTCTTCTGATCCTCGGCACGCGACGTGCGCATCAGCTCTTGAAAGCGCCCAAATGCATGTAGAGTGTTGTGTAGTGGAGGGAGGTCCTAGGGGAGCCACGCTGGACTCTTGAATTTTCAAGTCTCTCGAGTAGTAGAGCGATACTCATTGTTCCCATTGTCCGAGGAGTCTAAAGTAGTGAAGCGGTACTTGTTGTTCCAATTGTCCGATCGATATCCGCTACGACTAGGCAAGCTGCTGTTGGAAGTGCCCGATTGGTATCAACCGCAGTTAATCTCAGTTAAGCCTGAAGTTAAGCGGGACACGGAGGGTTAACATTGAAATTTGCTGCTTTTCAAGTAGTAAACAACTTACGAGAAACGAATGACTACCTCGGCTCACTGCTGATGGTAGAGTGGTAGTTCCAATGTGGGCCGCCTTGACAGTGGCATTTTCAGATTGGCTGGCATGGTATTTGGTGATCTCGGTCTTGTAACCTCGATCTGACGTGCCATTACATTTTCAAATTTGACCTGTCATTGATGTTTTTTTTTTTTTTTTTTTTTTTTCCGCAGGGATGATGATTTATGATAGTAGTTTTTATCTGACGTGTCGTGGCGCTTGGAAATCTGATGGGTGATGGTATTTGGCAGTTGGAAAGAGACGTGACATGGGGCCTCGCTCAACTACTCTCCACGTGCAAAATGAGACTGATCCTCCACTAGAACATGGATAGATGCACCGCCATATTTTTTGCATTTTGTGCATGTGGCGAGTAGTGGAGCGAGACACATGGTATTGGTAGTCTCACTGTGACGTGGCAGGGCATTTAGAAATATGATGTGGGGTTGAATTTGGAATTTCTGCTTGGTTGCAACGTACTGGTGTAAGGCCTTCTGATGAATGACTATGTTCACACACACACACATACACACACACACACACACACACAC